GGGTTCTAATTGATAGAATTTAAACACATAGTTATAATACTACATGTTGTTTTCTAGGCTACTCAATTAAGGATTAGAAATTTTTTAACCTGTTTGTTGATTCTTAGTACCTCAAAACTCTATATAAAGTACTAAGTACCTTTTTCAAGGCAGAAAGAGGAAGGAAGGGCCTGGGTAAAAGCTAGCTTTAGTGAATAGAATTCAAGGATTAATAAACTGTACAATTTATTCATACTGGAATTTTTATAAAGTAAAAGTACATTAAGTTAAAAATCCAAGTCACCCTTTAAATCAGCAGTCCCAAACCTTTTTGGCACCAGAGACCAGTTTTGTGGAAGACAATTTTTCCACTGATGGGGAATGGTGGGGTTGGGGGCGGGCAATGGTGTTGGGATGAAACTGTTCCGCCTCAGATCATCAGGCATCAGATTCTCATAAGGAGTGCCCAACCTAGATCACAATAGGGTTCATGCTCCTATGAGAATCTAATGCCACTGCTGATCTGACAAGAAGCCAAGCTCAGGCAGTAATGCTGGCTGGCCTGTCTCTCACATCCTGCTGTGCAGCGCAGTTCTAACAGGTCACAGACCAGTACTGTTGGTGGCCACAGTTTTGGGACTCCTGACTCAAAGAGAAAGAAGTCCACCAAAGAAAGAAGGTGGTGCAAAATAAATAGGAAATGAATAAGTTGCATGACCTTTGGGTCCTTTTAGCACCTGCTGAGACATGTCCCTTCTTTCTCCATCCATTTCTCCACAGCTTTCCTCATTCTTTCCCTGGTAACAGCATTTTTGGTCTTCTATGTGAGTCAGAGTTCCGTTATATATAATAGAAAGCATTGTATCTATCTTAAAGAAAGAAGGATTTAACAAAGAATGTCATGATTTCAAAATAACTAGGAAGGCTAGGGTAATAGATCATGAATAGATCTCAGATCACCACCACAGAACCAGCCAACCAAGGCAGCCTTTATACCTGGCAGGATCCGAAAGCAGGGAGGTCAGAAAGTCTTTCTCTGGCTGCCTCCAGGATCACTCTCCCCTATTCTTGACCTGGGGTTACAGTGTTACTGTAGCAACTGTTAGCTTCCTGAACACAAAATATCAGTTGTGATCTGGGGATCAGGAAGCTCCTGCTGGAATTAATTCCTGGAACACACAGCCTTAGTTACAGTCAAAGAATAGGCAGCCACCACCAGAATTATTGATTTCGGAGTCACATTGGACTTGGTATATTTGCATCAATAAAGTAGATGCTTTCTAAACTCTACCTTTTTCCGTACTTAAATCAGTTCTGAATTCAAAGCTAAAGAAAGTGCATCAGAAAGGTAAAACCTAAATCCCCTTTAGAACAATAGCTTTACAATGTTCTATAAAACATAATTTTTAGTTACCAAACTTTGCAGTATAGAACGCCACACTAAAAGGAAGTTGAAATAGTGAGCTACCCAGTAAACTATATCAACTATAGGGTACAATAACCTAAAATACTAATTGAGACTTGGAGGATGATACATAACAATCAAAATATGCTCATCTTTCCTTTTTCTTCCATCCATATTATTTTAAAATTATATTTTATTTAATTTTGAAAAAAGTTTAAATATTCGGTAATATTTTTACTGCAACCTTCAGCATCATCAGCTCTATTTAGGAAAATATAAGTGATTGGCAAAGTGATGCCATTACTGGCTAACCTAATAAGTTTCAGGCAATGGAAGTTTTCAACAGTATTTCTATATCTGCAGTTACACATTAATTTATTTCAAACAGTATAAGAATCTACATAAGATTCAGAAATAATAATCAAAAAACTATTATATTATTTACCCACAAACTCAAATGTCTTCAAAGATGAAAATGTATGATTTGCCTTAGTTTTAATAAAAATTAACTGTCAAAAATAAAATCAAAATATTTCTTTTTACTTAACTGACACATATAATACAAATGTGTGTGACAGTACAAGTTTACATTTGAAACTAAAAAGTACAAATTAAATAATGGAAATATTTTGTTAATTTCTTTCTTTTGAAATTTGTCACTCCATGATTTGGAACATTCATCTGACATTCTTTATATAAGCATGTCAATGACAGGTCTTCAATTTTTGTTTGTAAAATGAAATACACAATTCAAAGATATATTCTTAATCATTAAAAGATATTTAGTTTTATGTAGTTAATAGAAGAAAGTAGAGTTCACAAATGTAAGTACTTCCATGCATGGAAGTAATGCTTTCATAGTCATTTTTATATGTAGAATGTGTTGGAGGCAAAGATATGAGGTGAATTCTGGTATTCCAATGTATTCACATTTAGTTTTTACTTCTGTATAGTACTGCAGCTCAGTAAGCTTTCATTTTAGATTTTCTGGGTGCTATCATCATTAACTGAGAAAGACAGCCTAAACAATGTTCATTTACATTTAAAAGTTTGAAAACTTCTTTGGAATTCACTCTTCAACTTCAAAAATTTGGAAATTTCTTCACCGTAGGAAAGTAAGCTATGTTATTCATTGTAAAATAAATTTTAACAATGACTGGGTCAAAATAGTCAAATGTGGAATTGTGGCTACCTTTCCAGGGAAATACTTAAAGTGTCAGTGTGAGAAGCTAAGAATAGGGAATTTGAATGAGTAGTTTCAAGATGAAATGTGAACGTTTATATAGAATGAAACTCTTATTTGGTACTGAACTACTAATTCAAAGATAAATATATGCAGATTCAACAATGTATTTTTAGAAAAGCCATTCTACTATTCTACTGTCAGGTGTTCTACTTTCTCAGAAAAAACACGGATTTGTACAAAACCTACCATGTTTGTTGGTACCATCTTTATCTTACCCTCACTATTGCTAAGGAGGATCAAATAGAAAATGAAACGTTGTGAGCTAGAGTTAAATTTAATATTGCTTTGCATTAAAGTCTTCTATTTTCCTGAAATTTGGGGGATGGAATAGGAGGTAGAAAGGAAGCCTTGAGAGCTTTTCTCAATAGACGTCATAGATGGCTTTTCTCTAGACGTGTTAATGTTATAAGGCTCAGTAACAGCTATTTACTTTATTTAGGGCTAACAATATTACTGCTTGGGTTTATTTTCATAGAAAATAAAAAACAATTTAGAACAAATAAACATGATTTCCAGAGTTTGAGTTCTTAGATTATTTCCAAGAAAATAACTTTGAAGGACCTCAGAAATTTTGAGTCTCCTAAAGAAATATTTTCATTGCACATGAAGAAAATGGGAAAAGGGACCTTAAGTAACCACTCATTGTCATCCAGATTTTCTTTTACTTACCTCCCCTGCCATCAGTTCACTCTTACATTCATTTATTCATAAGTACTTATTGAATGTAGATGATGTGCAAAGGCATGTAGTATCAGGGCATATATGCTTCACCAAAGAAATTTTAAGGAAACAAACTAGAAACATCATTAAAATTTGGAGGTAAATACTTTGCAAATAAATTATTCAGTTTATAATAATATCAAAATATTTTCTTAAAAGATCAAGTAATTTTCCACAGGCAACAATTATAAAAAGATTAAGGAGAATCAAAATTTCATTAACCAAACAATGACAAACTCTGCAGTTATTGCCAAAATCATAGCACCTGTGTTAGGCTGAATAATGATCCCTCCAAAAATTTCACATCCTAATTTCTAGAACCTGTAAATATGTTACCTTGCAAGGGACTTTGGAGATGTCATTACATTAAGTATCTGGAGATGGGAGAGTAGCCTGGATTATCCAGATGGGTCCAGTGTAATCACAAGGACAGGGAGAGGCAGAGAAATAGATCTGACAACAGGAGAGGTTGGAGTAAGGATGGCTTGCAAGCAAAAGAACAAGGGCAACCTCTAGAAACTACAAAAGGCAAGAACGTGGGTTCTTCCCAAAGCTTCCAGAACGAATGCAGTCCTTCCAATACCTTGATTTTCACCCAGTGAGAAATATTTTGAACTTACGACTGAACTTCAGAGCTGTAAAATAATAAGTTTGTGCTGCTTTAGGGCACTAAGTTTGTGATAATTTGTTACAGCAGCAACAAAAAATAATACAGCACTTTGCTGAACATTTACTATGTGCTACTACATTAAATTTATTATCTCAGTTAATCATCATAGGAGTCGTATGAAGCAGATACTTAAAATATTAAATTATATTTAACACTAGTTCCAAAGACTTTTATAGCTTTCAGAATATATTTGCTTTTCCCAATATTATTTGCCAAAATATTAGATTATATTTAACACTAGTTCCAAAGACTTTTATAGCTTTCAGAATATATTTGCATTTCCCAATATTATTTGCCAGATGAGAAAGTAATATCTCAAAATTAAAAACTGTTTATTAGCTAAGGTGTACAATGTCACAGGAAGACAATCAAATCTAGCAACAATTTTTATAGAAAATGAAAAACTGAAGCAAGTAAGCTTTGACAAATAAATGAATTTTATTTCCTAGAAAAGTAGTTATTTTATAACAATGTAATAAATTCTCATGACCTGAGTTCCTAATCCTTGTAAATAAAAATTCAAATTTTCTATTTATTGTTAGTATTTTTCTCTTTGTATAATTTATATAAAATGACATTTTGTTGTAATTTTTATTATTGAGAAATAAATAATACATCAAATTTTAAATCTCCTTGAGGAGGGAGTGGCTTCTAGACTAGAGGTAGCCCAGTAACAGAATTTGAATTTGATTCGGGTATGAACCAAGGCTGTGTCCTTCAGGGCCCATATCAAAATACTGCCGAGTAAGCCTAACATGGTCTCCCCTTCCTAGGGGTTGTTCTAAGCAAAGACAGAGAACACAATTCTGACAATGAGGCTGAAGAGGAGTCTGATAGCTGAAGGAAAAAGCAGGTTATTTCCTCATTATGGAAAAGAGACATTTAAGAGAAAACAGCCTGTCTTCTTTCTCTCAAAATTATTTCTCTCTTCAATTAACCCTTCCTGGAACTGCCCACCCTCCAAGACAGATTCTACATACCTCCATACCTCCATCCTCACCTTCTCCTGAGATGGGGTCTTCGGTAAGACTGAAAAAACAAAACCAGAAACATTTTCTTAAACAATGCATGGAAGTTATGCTCTGATAAACTAATATGAATAAGAAAAGGGCTTGTCTATAGCTGTTTCACTGAGAGGGGTCTGAAGCCCCTATCCTAGTCTACTTTCAGTTTTATTAAGGAGAAAACTGCATAGAAACATTTCAGAGATCTGAACATAGAATTTAAAACATTTAAGAAAATTTGAGGGAATTAAAGAACAAGGATACCAAAGAGAAGAAAGTCCATGACATGCAGAAGTAGTAGCTAGTATTTATTAAGTGCTTAACACGAGTCGCACACTATTCTATGCACTTTGTTTTCATCTTCACAGTGACATTAAGAAGATGCTATTACTCTTCCCATTTTAAAGTTGACTAATCTGAAGCACAGATAACAGAATTTGCCCAAGATTACACAACTAATTTGGAATGAAGCTAGCATTTAAAAACTGGCAGCCTTACTCCAGATTTTAAGCATGTTCTTAAAACACTTTCTTCTATTGGCATTTAGTCCATGCTTGTAGCTGTATAAAGATCCAATGGGGGAGTTTCCAAAATGGCCGAATAGGAACAGGTCCAGCATGCCGCTCCCAGTGAGACTGACGCAGAAGGAGGGTGATTTCTGCATTTCCAACTGAGGTACCTGGTTCATCTTACTGGGACTGGTTGGACAGTGAGTGCAGCCCAAGGGGGGCAGGCCAACAACGAGCTAACAGTGGGTGTAACTCAAGGAGGCAGGGTACGGCATCACCTCACCTGGAAGTGCAAGGGGTCAGGGAGCTCCTTCTCCTAGCCAAAGGAAGCCATTAGGGACCTGCACTCCCGCCCAGATATTGTGTTTTTCCATGGTCTCCACAACCTGCAGACCAGGAGATTCCCTCCAGTACCTACACTGCCAGTTCCCTGGGTTTCCAGTACAAAACTGGGTGGCCATTTGGGCAGACACCGAGCTAGCCTCAGCAGTTTTTTTTCATATCCCAGTGGCACCTGGAACCCCAGCAAGACACAACTGCTCACTCCCCTGGAAAGGGGGCTGAAGCCAGGGAGCCAAGTGGTCTGGCTCAGTGGGTCCCACACCCATGAAGACCAGTAAGCCAAGATCCATGGGTGTGAATTCTCACAGCCAGCACAACAGTCTGAGCTCGACCTGGGATGCTGGAGCTTGGTGGGGGGAGGGGCACCTGCTATGGGTGAGGCTCAAGAAGGTGGTTTTGAACTCACAGTGTAAACAAAGCCGCCAGGACGTCTGAACTGGGCATAGCCCACCACTGCTCAGCAAGGCCACTGCAGGCAGGCTGTATCACTAGATTATCTCCTTGCTGGCCAGGGCATCTCTGAAAAAAGGCAGCAACCCCAGTCAGGGACTTATAAATAAAGCCCTCACCTTCCTGGGACAGAACACCTGGGAAAATGGGCGTTGTGAACATACCTTCAGCACACTTAAACATCATTGCCTGGCAGCTCTGAAGAGAGCAGCAGATCACCCAGCACAGCATTTGAGTGCTGATAAGGGACAGACTGACTCCAAGTGGCTCCCTGACCCCCATGTATCCTGACTGGGAGACACCTCCCAGTAGATGCTGACAGACACCTCATATAGGAGAGCTCTGGCTGGCATCTGGCAGGTACCCCTCTGGGACAAAACTACTACAGGAAGATGCAGGCAGCAATCTTTGCTGTTATGCAGCCTCCACTGGTGATACCCAGGCAAGCAGCGTCTGGAGTAAACCTCCAGCAAACTCAAGCAGACCTGTAGCAGAGGGGCCTTACTGTTAGAAGGAAAATTAACAAACAGAAAGGAATAGTATAAACATCAACAAAAAGGACATCCACTCAGAGACTCCATCCAAAGGTCATCAACTCAAAGACCAAAGGTAGATAAATCCATGAAGATGCGGTGAAGTCAGCACAAAAAGGCTGAAAATTCCCAAAACCAGAAAGCCTCTTCTCCAAGGAATCACAACTCCTCACCAGCAGGGGAACAAAACTGGATGGAGAATGAGTTTGATGAACTGACAGACATAGACTTCAGAAAGTGGGTAATAATAAACTCCTCTGAGCTAAAGGAGCATGTTCTAACCCAATGCAAGGAAGCTAAGACTCTTGAAAAAAGGTTAGAAGAATTGCTAACTAGAATAACCGGTTTAAAGAAGAATATAAACGACCTGATGGAACTGAAAAACAGAGCACGAGAACTTCGTGAAGCATACACAAGTTTCAAGAGATAAGTCGATCAAGTGGAAGAAAGGATATCAGAGATTGAAGATCAACTCAATGAAATAAAGTGAGAAGGCAAGATTAGAGAAAAAAGAAGCAAACAAAGCCTCCAAGAAATATGGGATTACGTGAAAAGACCAAATCTGCATTTGATCCATGTTCCTGAAAGTGATGGGGAGAATGAAACCAAGTCGGAAAACACTTTTCAGGATATTATCCAGGAGAACTTCCCCACCCTAGCAAGGCAGCCCAACATTCAAATTCAGGAAATACAGAGAACACCACAAAGATAATCCTTGAGAAGAATAACCTCAAGATACATACTAGATTCACCAAAGGTTGAAAAGAAGAAAAAAATGTTAAGGGCAGCCAGAGACAAAGGTCAAGATACTTACAAAGGGAAGCCCATTAGACTAACAGCAGATCCCTTGGCAGAAACCCTACCCACAAGAAGATAGTGGGGGCCAATATTCACATTCTTAAACAGAAGAATTTTCAATCTAGAATTTTATATCCAGCCAAACTAAGCTTCATAGAAGAAGGAGAAATAAAATCCTTTACAGATAAGCAAATGCTGAGAGATTTTGTCACCACTGGGCCTGCCTTACGAGCACTCCTGAAGGAAACAGTAAACATGGAAAGGAACAACCAGTACCAGTCGCTGCAAAAACATACCAAATTGTAAAGACCATCGACACCAGGAAGAAACTGCATCAACTAACAGGCAAAACAACCAGCTAGTGTCATAATGACAATATCAAATTCACATATAACAATATTAACCTTAAATGTAAATGGGCTAAATGCCCCAATTAAAAGACACAGACCAGTAAATTGGATAGAGTCAAGACCCGTTGGTGTGCTGTATTCAGGAGACATTTCACATGCAAAGACACACATAGGCTCAACATAAAGGGATGGAGGACTATTTACCAAGCAAATGAAAAGCAAAAAATAGGAGGGGCTGCAATCCTAGTCTTTGGTAAAACAGACTTTAAACCAACAAAAATCAAAAGAGACAAAAACGGGCATTACATAATGGTAAAGAAATTAATGCAATAAGAAAAGATAACTATCCTAAATATATATGCACCCAATACAGGAGCATGCAGATTCATAAAGCAAATGCTGAGAAACCTACAAAGACACTTAGACTCCCACACAATAATAGTGGGGCACTTTAACACCCCACTGTCAATACTAGATCAACGAGACAGAAAATTAACAAGGATATCCAGGACTTGAACTTAGCTCTGGACCAAGCAGACCTAATAGACATCCACAGAACTCTCCACCCCAAATCCACAGAATATACATTCTTCTCAGCACCACATCACATTTATTCTAAAATTGAGCACATAATTGGAAGTAAAACACTCCTCAGAAAATGCAAAAGAATAGAAATCATTACAGTCTTTCAGACCACAGTGCAAATTAGAACTCAGGATTAAGAAACTCACTCAAAACCACACAACTACATGGAAATTGAACAACCTGCTCCTGAATGACTAGTGGATAAATAACAAAATGAAGGCATAAATAAAGATGTTCTTTGAAACCAATGAGAATGAAGACACACATACCAGAATCTCTGGGACACATTGAAAGCAGTGTGTAGAAGGAAATTTATAGCACTAAATGTGCACAAGAGAAAGCAGGAAAAATATAAAATTGCCACCCTAATGTCACAATTAAAAAGAACTGGAGAAGTAAGAGCGAACAAACTCAAAGCTAGAAAAAAAAAATAAGATCAGAGCAGAACTGCGGAGATAGAGACATGAAAATCCATTAAAAAAAATTCAATGAATCCAGGAGCTGGTTTTTTTAAAAAGATCAACAAAATAGATAGACTGCTAGTAAGACTAATAAATAAGAAAAGATAGAGGAATCAAACAGATGCAATAAAAAATGATAAAGAGGATATTACAACAGGTCCTACAGAAATACAAACTACCATCACAGTATACTATAAAGGCCTCTGTGTAAGTAAACCAGAAAATCTAGAAGAAATGAATAAATTACTAGACACTTACACCCTCCCAATAGAGGAAGACGTTGAATCCCTCAATAGACCAATAACAAGTTCTGAAATTGAGGCAGCAGTTAATAGCTTACCAGCTAAAATAAATCCAGGACCAGATGGTTTCACAGCCAAATTCTACCAGACGTACAAAGGAGCTGGTACCATTACTTCTGAAACTATTCCAAACAATAGAAAAAGAGGGAATCCTCCCTAATTCATTTTATGAGGAATTTGGCATCATCCTGATACCAAAACCTGTCAGAGACACACACAAAAAAGAAAATTTCAGGACAATATCCCCGATGAAAACTGATGCAAAAATCCTCAATAAAATTCTGTCAAACCAAATTCAACAGCACATCTAAAAGCTTATCCATTACAATCAGGTTGGCTTCATCACAGGGATACAAAGCAGGTTCAACATACACAAATCAATAAATGTAATCCATCACATAAACAGAACCAAAGACAAAAACCATATGATTATTTCATTAGACTCAGAGAAGGCCTTTGACAAAATTCAACAGCCTTTCATGCTAAAAACTAGGTATTGATGGTACTCAATCAACTAGGAACTGATGGAACATATCTCAAAATAATGATAGCTATTTATGAAAAACTCACAGCAAATATCATACTGAATGGGCAAAAGCTGGAAACATTCCCTCTGAAAACTGGATGAGTTTGTTTCTTTTGTAGGGACATGGATGAATCTGGAAACTATCATTCTCAGCAAATTGACAAAAGGA